TGTTTTGGTTTCATCCACATACGCTTGTGAATCTTTGTTCTCAGTGATGAATTTTGTTAAGTCTCGTAATAGGAGTAGCCTGACGGATGAAAGTAGTAGCTCATGCATATCACTGAAGGTCATGAAATATAAACCTGATGTAAAATCTCTGTCATCAGTGATGCAGCAGCAAAAGTCCCACTGATAATATCAAACGGAGTCATAAAGTTTTCTGTCGGACTATCAGTGTACATGTATACATTAAAAAATAAATGTATTTTTCATCATCATATACTGTGTTTTTGTCGCTCGAATGAATTTTATTATTTCTTCAAGGTTCTTCACATACGTACACCTTAAGAGATATCAAGTAGGCGTAACATGTTCTCAAAAAATTAGGGTTGGCACGCAGAAGAATTTTGAGTCAGAGATTTTGCTGGTTTTGGCACGCACTCACAAAAAGGTTGCCCACCCCTGCCCTAGGAGCTGTAGCGGTAAAGATATTGCTACCACATATGTCTGATATTTTCCTGCCTATGGATTCTTCTAATTTTTTTATGTTTTCCTATCGTACATTTAAGTACTTTATCCATTCTGAGTTTATTTTTGTATATGGTAGTCTACTTTCATTTTTTTGCATGTATCTGTCCAATTTTCCCAACACCATTTATTGAAGAGACTGTCTTGACTCCATTGTATGCTCTTGCCTCCTTTGTCAAATATTGAGTATAATGGCTTAGGTCAATTTCTGGGTTCTCTGTTTTATTCCATTGGTCTATGTGTCTATTCTTGTGCCAGTACCAGGCAGTTTTGAGAACAGTGGCTTTGTAATAGAGCCTGATACCTGGTATTGTGATCCCTCCAACTTTGTTCTTCTTTATCAAGATTGCTGCATCTATTCGGGGTCTTTTTTATTCCATATCAATTTTTGGAGTTTGTTCCAGGTTTGTGAAATATACTATTGGTATTTTAATGGGTATTGCATTAAATCTGTAGATTGCTTTGGGTAGTATGGACATTTTAATTATGTTGATTCTACTAATCCATGAACACAGTATATGCTTCAATTTGTTTATGTCTTCCTCTATCTCTTTTTCCAACGTCCTGTAGTAGTTTTCCAAGCACAGGTCTTTTACCTCCTTAGTTAACTTTATTCATAGGTATCTTAATATTTTTGGTGGGATGATAAATGGGATTTTTGGTTTTTTTGTTTAGTTTTGTTTGTCTTTCTGTGAGTTCTTTATTGGTGTATAAAAAAGCCATAGATTTCTGGGTGTTGATTTTGTATCCTGCTACATTGCCAAATTCATTTAGTAAATCTAGTAGTTTTTTTTATGGAGTTTTTAGGGTTTTCTATGTACAATATCATGTCATCTGTTAAATATAATTTTTCTTCTTTTCCAATTTGGAAGCCTTTTATTTCTTCTTCTTGTCTGATTGCTATGGCAAGCACTTCCAGTACTATGTCAAACATGAGTGGTGAGAGTGGGCATCCCTGTCTTATTCTTGTTCTTAGGAGAAATAGTTTTAGTTTTTTCCCATTGAGTATGATGTTGGCTGTAGGTTTGTCATTTAAGGCTTTTATTATGTTGAGATATGATCTCTCTATCCCCACTTTGCTGAGAGTTTTATCAAGAAAGGGTGTTAGCCCTATCCGGTTTGGCTCAGTGCATAGAGCATCAGCCTGTGGACCAAAGGGTCCCCGGTTCATTAGGGACAAGTGTACATGCCTGGGTTGTGGGCTTGGTCCAATGTGCAGGATGCAGCCAATCAATGATTCCTCTCCTCATTGATGTTTCTATCTCTCTCTTCCTCTCCCTCCCTCTCTGGAATCAATAAAGATATATTTTAAAAAAGAAAGTGTATTTGATTTTGTCAAATGCTTTTTCTGCATCAATTGATATGATTATGTGATTTTTATCTCTCAATTTGTTTATGTGAAGTATCACATTTATTTATTTGTGGATATTGTACCATCCAAGCATCCCCAGAATAAATCCCACTTGGTAATGGTGTATGATCTTTCTAATGTAATGCTGGATCCAATATGGAAGGATTTTGTTGAGGTTTTTAACATCTATGTTCATCAGATATATTGGCCTGTAATTATCTTTCTTTGTAGTGTCTTTATTTGGTTTTGGGATTATGCTGGCTTCATAGAACGAGCTTGGAAGTGTTCCTTTCTCTTGAATTTTTTGGAATAGTCTGAGAAGGATAGGTTTTCCTTCTTCTATGAATGTTTGGTAAAACTCCCCCATGAAGCTCTATGACTTAGGGCTTTTGTTTGCTGGAAGGTTTTTTCTTTTTTTCATTACTGCTTCAATTTCCTCCATAGTTATCAGCCTATTCAGATATTTTTTATTCCTGATTGAGTTTTGGAAAGTCGTATTTTTCTAGGAATATGTCCATTTCTTCTAGGTTGACCAGTTTGTTGGAATAGAGTTGTTTATAGTATTTTTTCACAGTCCTTTGTATTTCTGTGGGGTGCTATTTTGCCTCTTTGATTTCTGATTTTGTTCATTTGGTCTTCTCTCTTTGCTTCTTGGTGATCCTGGCTAGAGGTTCATCAATCTTTTTTATCCTTTCAAAGAACCAGCTCTTGGATTAATTGATATTTTGTATTGGTTTTTGGTCTCTATGTCATTTACTTGCACTCTGATCTTTATTATTTCCTTCCTTCTGCTCACTTTTGGATTTTCTTGTTGCTCTCTTTCTAATTCTTTAAGTTGTAGAGTTAGATAATTTATTACTAGTTTTCTTGTTTTTGTGTGTGTGTTTGTTTTATTTTGTTTTGGTTTTTTGTTGTTGTTTGTTTGTTTGTTTGTTTGTTTGTTTTAGATAAGCCTGTAACGCTATGAACTTCCCTCTCAGGACTGCTTTCACTGTGTCCCATAGATTTTTGGAATGTTGTGTTTTCATTATCATTTGTTTCCAGGATGTTTTTTATTTCTTTTTTAAATCTTTTTGGTAACCCAATAATTGTTTAATAACATGCTATATAGCCTCCAAGTGTTTGACTTTTTGTAATTGTGTTTATTGTGGTTTATTTCTAATATTATGCTATAGTGATCTAAGAAGATGCTTGATATGATTTAAATCTTCTTGAATTTGAAGAGACTTTCTGTGTCCCAATATGTGGTCTATCCTTGAAAATGTCCCATGTGCACTTGAGAAGAATGGATATTCTGTAGCTTTGGGGTGAAATGTTCTGAAGATGTCAATTAAGTCTATTTGATCTAGTGAGTTGTTTGTGATTGCTGTTTCTTTGCTGATTTTTTTGTCTAGATGATTTATCCAGTGATGTCAATGGGGTATAAAGGTCCCCTACTATTATTGTACTGGTGTCAAACTTTCCCTTGATATCTTCCAGAAGTTTTTTTTAATGTATTTTTGGGTGCTCCTGCATTGGGTACATATATAATTACCAAAATTATATCCTCTTGTTGTATCAATCCCCTTAGTATTATGTTGTGGCCTTCCTTATTTCTTATTATAGCCTTCACTTTTAGGTCTATTTTGTTGGATATAAGTATTGCTATCCCAGCTTTTTTAAATTTCCATTTGCCTAAAAAATAATTTTCCATCCATTCACTTTCAGGCTGTGTCAGTGCCTTGTTCTAAGGTGGGTCTCCTGTAGATAGTACATATATGGGTCATGTTTTCTTACCCACTCATCCACTCTATGTCTTGTGATTGGAGCATTTAGTCCATTTACATTTAAGTTTATTATTGATAGGTACTTGTTTGTAGCCATTTTTATTCTTTATGCCAGTATTCCTTCTTCCCTTTCTATTTCTTCTTTTTACAACAGTCCCTTTAGCATTTCTTGCATTGTTGGCTTGGCAATGATAAAATTCCTTAGCCTTTTTTTTTGTCTGCAAAGCTCCTGATTTCACCTTCAATTTTGAATTATAGCCTTGCTGGATAGAGTATTCTTAGATTCAGTCCCTTGCTTTGCATCACTTTGTATACTTCATTCCATTCCCTTCTGGCCTGATGTGTTTATGTTGAGAAATCATTTCTTAATCTAATGGAAGATCCTTTGCAGGTAACTCTCTGTCTCTCTCTTGCAGCCTTTAACATTCTCTCTTTTTTGTTTATGTTTGCCATTGTAATTATGATGTGTCTTGGTGTAGGTCTTTTTGGGTTCATCTTGTTTCGGACTCCCTGGGCTTGTGTGACTTTTTCTACCTCAAATAAGGGAAGTTTTCTGTCATTATTTCTTCAAATAAGATTTCTAATCCTTGCTCCTCTTCTTGTCCTTCTGGCGCCCCTATTATACATATGTTACTTTGTTTCATGATGTCCCATAGCTCTCTTAGGCTCTCCTCCTGCTTTCTAATTTTTTTCTCCAATTGCTCTTCAGGTTGCTCATGTTTCTCTGCCTTATCTTCTAACTCACTAATTCGGTAATCTGCTTCTTCTAGTCTACTGTTGAAAACTTTCATCATGTTTTTTACTGTAGGCATATCATTCTTGATTTCCCCTGATTCTTACATAAGCTGTTGATTTTCTCATCTATCTGGTTTATGAACTGTATGACCCTTACTCTGAATTCTTTTTCTGACATATCACATGCCTCTGTTTCATTTAGTTCCTTTTCTGATTATTTTTTTTCCTTTGGGAGTTGTTTCTTTGTTTCCCCATTTTTGCTATCACCAAAGAGTCCAGGTGCCAAGTTACACGGGGCCTCTGGCTGAAGTGGAGGGTTGGTGGGAGGGTCACATACCCTGAGAGTCACCGGAGAGCCCAGGTGCCAGGATGGCTTGTGGCCATGGTGGCAGATTGATGGGATCGTCTCATGCCCTGAGAGTCATGGGAGAGCCCAGGCACCAGGACATGCAGAGCCTGTGCTGTGGTGGCAGGTCGGCAGGAGCATTGCATGCTCTGAGAGTCATGGCTGCGTTGCCAGGCTGGTGGGGGAGGGTAGCACACTCCAGTACTCACAGAATCTGTCTCCAGAGAGGCTGGAGTCCCAGTGTCCTTAGGTTTGCAGCTGTGGTGGCAGGTCTTTGGCCGGAGTGGCTCTAGGGTCTCTGGTGGTGTCTGAAGCCAGTCTGGGTGATGGTGAAGCTGGGCTCCTAGTCACAGCAGCTCTCCCCTTCAAGATGACATGGTTTCTGTGCCTGCACCATCTTCCCAAGGTTGCTTGCAGCATTAGCGGGGGCTCCCTGTCTAAGAGAGCCTGGTCTTCCAGCCCCCGAAAGTCCTGAAGGATCTAACTGTCCCTCACTCACACAGAAACACACACCACACATGTCCACCCACTCCCTTTTCACTCCCTCACTTACATTCTCCCTCACTGCCATCCTGCCAGCTTCCATCTTGACTTGCTTGAGAAATATTCTTCTAAATTCACTTTTTCAAAAGTGTTTGTATCTAGCTAAGTGTTGCAAATAACATAAATCAGGGATTGTAGTAACTGATGTTTGATACAGAACCACCTGTTCCCTGAGTAATTTTGAAGAAGGGCAATCACAGGCAAGCCTATATTTCCCTTAAGACGGAATTGCAACACCCCCAACCCAGCCCACCAACCCCAACCCTGACAGCTGTCAGCCTGCACTCTATCTCTGAGTCTATCCCTATTTTGCTTATTAGTTCACTTCATTCATTAGATTATATGTATGAATGAAATCATATGGCATTTGTCTTTCTCTGACTGACTTGTTTCACTTACCATAATACTCTCCTGGTTCATCCTTGCTGTCACAAAGGGTAAGATTTGCTTTTATGGCTCAGGAGGGATTGAGAAAAGAGAGAGAGAGAGAGAAAAAAAAGTAATGGACACAAACAACTGTATTGTGATTGCCAGAGGGAGGGGGGAATGGGGGAAAGTGGAGGAGGGTATAGGTGGGATAAATGGTGATAAAAGGAGACTTGACTTGGGTGGTGAATGCACAATACAGTGTATTGATTATGTGTTGTGGAGTTGTGCACCTGAAACCTGTATAATTTTGTTAACCAAGTGGCACCCCAATAAATTCAATAAAAAGGGAAAAACAAGATTGAATTGTAAATTCAGGCTCCTTGGTCACATATATATGGATAACATGGTATATGCTTCACTCTACGTTAATTTTTTTTTAATCTACTAATACCCAAAGGTCAGTCTTACATCCATTTCTTTTCTAATACAGAAAGTTTTAGTATATATTGCATGTACATGGAAAGATTATTTACATCTTTGGTTTGAACAGTTTGAACCCTTGCAGTATTTTCCCCACTTTTAACATTCCATACACATTTAAGTTTCCAAGTTATTTCTTTTGTGATTTAATCAAATGAAGGTAAGTCCCAAACATCTTCAATTTGTCAACATGCTCAGTAGCCAACTACACTTACTGGATGTTGTACTTTTAGGATTGTGAATGCAACTAAATTCATAATTACTTTTTCAAAATATTCTGATTTTCATTGATTTGGTAATTATTTCTTGAAATAGAGGCCCAGTGCATAAAAATTTGTGCACTCAGGGGGGTCCCTCAGCCAGGCCTGTGCCCTCTCACAGTCTGGGACCCCTCAGGGGATGCCCACCTGCTGGCTTAGGCCCGCTCCTTGGGGAATTGGGACTAAGCTGGCAGTCAGACATCCCTCTGGCAGCCCGGGAGCCCTCGGGGGATGTCCACTTGCCAGCGGGGAGCAGGCCTAAGCTGCAGTCAGACATCCTTAGCGCTGCTGAGGAGGC